AGATGTGGATCCAGTCCTTGTGACTCACATCTGTGCGTGTTGGTCAGAGTCACGACCGTCCATTTTAGACGTGGATGCAGTGAACGCACTGTGGCTAGGACGTTCGGCTGCTGAAAGACCAAACATCTCAGTTAGCCGGTTGAGTATGCAATTAAGGGGCACTGACAGACGCTCCAAGTGCTGCGTTACAATAATGCCACGAAGTTTACCTCCCTATCAAATAGCCTCCTCATGTCCTTGCGCCAAGTAATCTCATCGCCGCCTCCTACTCGTCTTCCCTTCATCCTCACAGTTTCTTCTTTACCTTCACTCACTTGGATCAACAGTAAATCATAAGGTCGTTCCATATTTAATGCTTCTTCGCCTCCTATCCAATCGCTAAGAGCAGAAGGAGATGGGGACGTTATCAGACGGTGGTGGGTTGGGAGGTGGCGTTCCAGATCCTAGTAAGGACAAGAAAATCTTTGTAGTCTAGACTCGATTTAGATCGTAATTATTGCGGTTGGCTGCCATAGCATCGCCAGAACCGTTTTCGGATCTGCAGACGATGCGTTCTCCATTTTGAGTAAAGTGAATACACTCTGATTGTAAAGTTTTGATTTTGTACCGGGAATGAGCTTTACCCGATGAAAGATGGAGATCGGTCAAATCTGTCGTGAAAGTCCGTTCCTCAAGCCCCTACTTTTTTCAACTATTCCCATCGGAGTCATACCACGTCTAATGCCCTGAACAGTCTTCCTTTGTCCGGATTTACATTAGAACTGTGTCAAATCCGAGGTGTCTGTTTCAGCCCCTTAGGTAATTTTTAATATTCGTATGCACCCAATCACACACTACATTTAATGTCAGTCCGCTATGCAATGCAAGTTCGCCAATTTTCTTTACTTCTTTGGTTCGAATATGTACAGTATTTTTCGTCAAAGCACACCATAAAGTGGTGAGCTCTGGGGAAAGGGGTACGCAATAAGTGCATAGTCCGTTAGCGGGTTGAGTCGCGTCACTGAATGCGTATCTTTGGCTCTACGTCGAATTGGTGGTGGGCCACAAATCGCCCTACTTGCCACAGTGAACATCCCTTTGACAAATATATCGCTTCTGCTGGGTTGGGTGACCTTCAGGTCATGCCAACTCCCTTCTCTCACTTTTAATTTCAGTATAGATGTTCAGACAAGCCTACGAATGTAATACTTCTTTTATATGACCACGTAGCATCTGACGGTTACTTTGGAATTTTTCTGGCCCTTGTAGGCATTGGCTGGCCCTTGGGCCATGCTCAGGCTTGATCCGTTTCCGTTCCATGGAAGGCATGTATTCTGCTCCGTTTAACGCCTTCTTATACCCGATAAGAAGTCTCAGGATGCTTGACAAAACTCTGCATTTGATATTAGCTCCCGTAAAAGATTCATTTATCCCGACAAAAAGAACCCAAATAATTGGCTGATTTGGCTTTTCTTAGCTTGGTCATCTGCACACCTGAAAACAGTGAAGTAGTGGTTATCATTAACGTAGTGAACAAAGTGTTTGGGTAGTGCATTCACCTTTTACACTGACGAAGCTAGAGTGGGCATTTCGTTTCAGGATTTTGAATATATTTAGTGATTTTAATTCACCACTTCATACCACGGCTTAAATTTCCAAGCTATGGCCTAATTGCACCCTCTTGGTCGTAACTTAAAGCGTTACGCATAGCGGTTTCTATCTTGTTCTTTTTATAACTTTTGGAAGAGATCTTCCCTAAATGAATTTTATCTGACACATTTTGTAGAAGGACGGCGTTTCCTCCGCAGTGTCCTCCAGCACTGCACTTGAGTTGATATTTTCACCTTTTCCCCAGAAAAGCCCAATTTTGGCACCAAATATGCATCAAATTGCTAACTTGGATTCATCGTTTTATCCTATAAACCATAAAATGAAACACTCTAGAGCGTTCATTCTGACCTTCATTTGGTCAATTATATTATTAGTGAATTCCCAATGTAAGCTAGGAACAGTTCAGCAAAATTACGCATAGTTGCAGTTCATCTTTGAATTATGTAATATCGCATCATTCTCATTTCCAAAAGCAAACAAGAATGAAGTACTACGGTGCATTTATATTTGATTTGTTAATATACTGTCTGACATCTGATTGGTTTACTGGTTGCATTCTGTCTGGCTCCGGGTCGCATGGATGGTGATTTTGTGTTGAATGTTACATCAGCTCCAGGTGGTGCGAATAAGGTGGGTTAATATTATCTTACTATTCCAAAAGAGTTCAGTTGCTTTTGTTCGCAAAAGAGGGGTGTCTCATAATGGCGCAAACAATTCGTCAAGTCTTTTGTCTAACAGAAAGGGGACCATTGGGAAAATCGAGGGAACCATGAGAGTGAAGAAATCAAAATTGATCAGACAGGCAGCTAACACAAACGCGACATCAAAAAAGGGCGGGGTAGATGTTAACGTTGGGACTCGAGGTCTTAAGTTTCCAGATGAGTCGGTTGCAAAAAACCCCCTTCAAGTTGGTCTTGCCGCCAAGCAGCATACGGAGCAGCAGGATCTGCTCAATGTAATGGGGTGAGATTTGCTCTCAAAGTTTGAATTTTCATAGTGAAGGAGTCATTCCGAGCATTGAGTCGGTATTTTCTGAAACATCATGGGAAGATTTCGGCTCGGAATCCAATTTGCATCCGCATCTGATTTCACTTATCAAGAAGAATTTTCACTTTGAGCGCTTGACATCCATTCAGGCCTCTGCAATTAAGCATTTGCTTAACGGTCGTGATGCCTTGATAAAAGCTCAAACTGGTTCGGGCAAGACGGTAGCATATGCTCTTCCACTGATTCACAATTTGATGGAAACTAAACCACCGCTATCCCGATGTGACGGACCAAGGGCATTAATTATTCTGCCTACTCGAGAATTGGCTGCTCAAACCGGGTTGGTGATGGGTCAGCTATGCAGAGCATGCATCCGAATTGTTCCAGGCTGTCTCATTGGAGGAGCTAAACGTAAGGGCGAAAAAGCTAGGTATGTACGCCCCAAATTTGGTCATTTTCTGTCAGCCTTAGAAAGGGACTAAACATTATTGTAAGCACCCCACGGCGTCTCCTGGATCACTTGGGAAAGACGGCTGCGCTCAGCTTGAAGGGACTCAGGTGGTTGGTGATTGACGAAGCTGATCGATTGGTTGAACTTGGATTTGAACGTGATGTGAGGCGAATCATTGAGCGAGTTACTCGCGACGTTGGTTGTGAACATCCGATTCGAACAGTACTTCTTTCAGCTACCCTCACTCCGGGTACTCCGCTCTTTATTGTCTTAACTGTTGTTTCAAATACAATTAGGAGTTGAGACACTGGCTGGGTTGGCATTAAAAAATCCCGTAAAATGCGAGGCGGCAGATGTCATAAACAGAGACTCAAAGAAAAGAACTGAAGAGGACAGGCCTCTTGCACCGTTTTCTATGCCTTCTGGTCTGAGGCACTTCTTGTTGGTGGTGCCATGCAAGCAGCGCCTCGTCGCCCTTGCTTCTTTTCTCTTACTAAAGGCGAAGGTGATCCACCCAATACTGACTTGTTACTCTTTCATCTTCTAGCGTAGAACAACTTCATTTATTGTTTTAATTGTAGTACAACAAACGGTTAGGAAAGTTAATTGTATTCTTCGCCACGCAAGATTGCGTGGATTTTCATTATCGTCTCTTTTCTGAAACCATTTGCAAGGATTCAGATGAGGTTAGTGGCGTGGAATTCAAAGCTGGTGATCTTCATCTCTATCGCCTTCATGGCAATATGGATCATAGGGTACGCCTCTCCTTCCATCTCAATAGCCTCTCTTTGCTAGTCTATTGCAGTGAAGCAGCGACTGGCCAGCTAAGTAGGCGATTGGACGTATAACTCTGTAGTTGTGCCTCCAGACATACATATAAGAAAATAACTTTTGTAGTTAAAATAAACTTCACATACTTTTTATTTGAGGGTTTTGGTAGATGTTAATTTGGTCTTTCATTGATGGATTGGTCAGTTTCCCATAAAATCATTTGTATTGCCTCTAAAACGCTTTTTATTTCGTAGTAGAACGTAGTCCCTGTCTGTAGAGGCTTCAGACGGCATCCTGTTTGCGCTGTTGCTTCAGTCACCTCATTATTGACACTCCTATTATAGGGAAATATAGGCAATATAGTTAAGCGTTTCGATTGACGACAAAAGCCAGGCGTGTTATAAACTGGACTTGCTCTTTATTCTGGGAAATTCTGATCCCGCGATTGCCTGCTATTCCCATACTCCTCGATGCTTTGTATTACAGGAGCGTCAGATGGTGTTTCAAGAGTTCTCCAGTTGCCCCAACGGTATTCTCCTCACCACAGACGTGGCCAGTCGCGGCCTCGATTTAGCAGGGGTGGCGTGGGTAGTGCAGTACCACGTCTCCGGGAGCCCAATTGACTACGTGCATCGCGTTGGACGCACTGCTCGTGCGGGCGGTCGTGGCAAGGCGCTCCTTCTACTCCAACCTGAAGAGGAGTCCTACACTCACATGCTTTCCTCCACTGTCGGTCTCCAGCTGCAGAGACTGAATCTCGTTGATGTTCTGCAAACTGCACTGTACCACCTCAGGCACACTAAGAGTGTAGGTGTTCTGCGGTTTTAATTCTGCTGCATTCAAACTTAGCCTTGTTATTCGACTTCCTAAAGTGTGATTGCTATGCATAGCATCAGGGTGTAGTCACTGGTGTGCTGTGATAGAACCGAGTTTTAACCACTGGACATTGATAGTATTGCCATATAAAGGTAGTCTACTTTTGGCATTGGAAAGTAAAGGAGGCATGCTAATACTTTATTGCGATATTCGAATAGGAATGCCATGCTGATGTGTCCAAGACTGCCAGCCAACTACTGCTAGTAAATCCTTCGTACAGAGGTAATGTTGGCGGTGGCATTCCTATTCACCCACAGCACGATGTTATGCTCTGCAGAACATCACGGTGTGAGGATAGCGGGCTCCCGTGCTCTGTTTTTAACTGGTCATCGCTGATTCTTTGCCGTGCAAATGCGGTGTCAGTGGCAGATTTGGAATTTATGTGATGTTTTCCGCTCTTACAGCGCCGAGGCGTGAACACACTGGAGGAGGCGGTAGCAAGTATGGGAAAGTACTTTATGCTGACCGTGTGCGATAACGCGGAACTTTTAGCACTGGCTGAACGAGCCTATCTATCCTTCCTGCGAGCGTATGCCAGTTTTTCCGGCCCAATGCGCGATCATTTCGTCTTCAAGCGCCTTCATCTTGGTCATGTCGCTCGCGCCTTCTGCCTACGTGACGCGCCATCTGATATCGCATCTCGCGTCACAGGCAAACGGCATCGTACCAAATCAAACCCCCACGCAGAAGCTGCAAATTCTGCTACTACTGCTGCTGGTTCCTCGATTACCAAAAAGTCCGTATTTACCCAATTTTGTGGGAGTTACTAGTCGTTGAATCCAGATACGTTATTAAGCTTCCGCTAACCTTTTGGAGTAGCCTTGAGTGAGAGCCAGAATTTGCTAAGGGTTAATTTCATTCATAAATTTGCTACAAGGAATGGGGTTTTTCGTCAGGTCAGCTACCCAACTGGCTTCGATTCGAATTCCTTTTTATTCAGCCATTTGGATTGCGTTCATTTATCTTATGAGCAGTTGTACTACCCCAATTTTGAATCAATTATACTGCTTGCAGGTCACGACGTCTCGAATTCCCTGAGGAGGATGGAGAAGTGACTTCTCAACCACCGCAGGCGAAGAAGAAAAAGAATATGCCCGGTGAACTGGCCAAGCGTAACATGCTTGCCGAGTATGGACTTTGAATTTGTGCATAGCACAAACCTGTACATGTTTGTAGACTAAACATCTTTATAATCAATATTGCTCCTTGAATTATTCAAAATATGGGTGAACTGATGATTTTGGCGGTGCCGGGCGTGGGGCACTTGGCGTATTTCGTGGCGAGTTCACGAAAGGTTTGGGGATAATGGTCTGTTCGTCGTGGAAGGCGTCTCTGAGAGTCGCCAGGTGGGAGGGGCAAATTCCAGACAAGGAGTCGTGTTTGGTTTTGGAGGTGGGGAGAAGGAGTTGCAGCGACGATGTGTGGGGTCCAATATCCCTTCTCGTGAGGCTTTACCGTCCGCATTGTTGACTTTAGCACAGGTCTCCTAGGTTTATGGGGTTTATGACGTTACAGAGGCCTGACAAACGGGCTCGAGCCGACGCAAATCTGCATATAACGCCCACAAATTATTTAAAGGCAACGCAAATAGACCGTATATTTGATTACATCAAAGGCATAATAATGCCATGTTATCCTGTAGGTCAAAAAGCATATTTTAAATTAAATGTAGAGCCTTTGACTTTTTGCAATTACTAAACTTTGATGTTTTTTAGCACATGCAGCTGGTTACTTAATGTTTAATCATCGCGAAGTTACAATATTATGAAGTGTGCGGTGCCAACTTCGAAATTGGATGGTTTGAACCGTTGATATGCCGAAGGAGGGGCTGTTCGATGGGATCAGAAAGCGTTCTACTATTGAGCTTCCTACGTTTGAACAAGGTACTGATCTAGGCTTGACTTATGTATCTGTAGTATCGGAGAGTCCAAGTCATCGCACTGAGCCGTCCATGGTTAGTCGTCCCAGCGAGGTATGTGCTTTGTAAATGTGGCTCATTTGCTAGGTTGATAATTCATCAACAACTTGCACTGCATCCCGTTGTTTGAAGTCGAAGGCTATGAAGTCTGTGAGGAAGGCAGGTATGAGGACTTTTAGTGGGTGTACCACAATTGAGTAATCCATGGTGAACTTTCTCGTTGGACGTTCTAAACATGGTAGCTTGAAATTATTGCAGGTCCCCAACCGGGTTCGTCATCTACCAAGGTAATAAATAATTTCTATATCTTTAAAATTTTGGACGCTTTTTTGTTGTGCCGAATTTTGATGTGTAGGAGACGGCCAATTTAGCCATTCCGCGTTTACGGTCTCGACGTCAACTAATTCCAGAAGCAAACATGATGGGTGGTACGTTTATACTTTCTACTCTTCTACCTTCGAACAGAACTACTCCATCTTTATTGTTGATATGAAAATTTTAGGTGAAACTTTTGTTATCAGTCTGGACGATTCTTTGAATGTGGCCTCTACCTCGTCTCGGTCTGAAGCTGGAAAGAGTAACTGCATCTTTTGCTTGTGCTCCATACCCAAACTACCAATACTGCTGGAATTTCACTTTTTATTGTCCTAGGTACTGCGAAAAGCAAGAGTCGGGCTCTCAAATTGCAGGCAATTTTTTACTGTGCTGGTTACTCTTGCCCAATTTTATTGGTTTTTTTTTTCATTAACGGGTTCGATTTTTAGCGTGGCAGGCGAAAGCTGCGAGCTCGCCGCAACTTGGTGGATTCTGTTGAGGCGACAGGTGACGCAACTTTTGAGATAAGTGTCGCACCATCTAGAGACACAGGAGGTGAAGCAAAGGGTATGCGTGCGATGCTTTAATGTCCACAAAAACCCCTATGCGCCTGTGTCCGATTTGTACATTAGATTTTTCTACGCTGAGGATTTGTATTTTCACCTAGGTTGCAGTTAAACAGCATTTTATTGTTGTGTACCAGTAATCATCATATGCCAACGTTTAGTCTACGTTTCGTATAATCAACCACCTTGTCCCACGTTTCATGATCGCGAATATTCGTCACAATTCATTAATTTTCTACACTCGTCATTAGTAGGCATTTTTTTTAAACCCATTTTTCTACTGCTTGGCTAAGAGTTCTTTAGAGTGCAAACCCATGCAAGCAGACATCAGTTCGTAACAGGTCTTTAATCTACAGATGGTCACGATGACAATTTTGCCATCTCATTACCTTTAGTATTTGGCGTCCTTATTGCTGATGGCAATTATGCATTTGTCTTCTGTAGATACCTCAAACGTTGCTAGTCATGGCAGAAGCAGACCTGTAAGCTTATATCGGCTTGTATTTAATCTATTACTGTATCTTAAAATTTAATTTCATATTTCTCTGGAACAGACAAAGAAGAAACGTTTGCGTTCGCGGCGTAATTTAGTGGACTCGTCGTGCGCTGCACCGGACAATGCTACATTTGAGATAAGCGTTGTTCAACTCTCCGAAAGGAAGAATGATACGATGGGTGATTATGATCGGTTTTGTTCATAGTTTTATCTTGTAAATAATGCCATCCACATGCTCTATCTCCCTTCCTCTTTCTAGCTGACGCGACAAAGGTAGAAGCCATCGGTGAGTTCGTTTTCCACACTGTTGTTGCATTGGGTAACATTGATTGATCGTCAGCAATGAGAATGAATGTAAACAGTCATGAAGTAGCTACGCTTTCCTCACCACCAATCGTTTTGGCATTCAGTACTGCTATTTCCACTGTGAAAATTTAGGTAGTAAACGGGTGATCTAATATATTCCGCCTCCGTACATGTCCTCTAAGTATTCTTATGGATCGACTGAGACTTGGAATTGTTGGATCTTTTGGTTTGAGAATTTTATACTCTCAGGACTGAGCATTCCCGATTGCCCAGTTGGATCGCTACCGCTTGCCTCTGGAGCTGCTTGCAAGTCTTTGGAGGAGTCTGAAGTGGAAGGTTGGTCACTTTCATTTCACAGTCTCGACTCTCTTGCAACTATTTCACTTGGCTAGATGTGTTAAACATTTGGCCCTTCATCAGTGTTATGTAGCTTATCTTTTGTGACGTCTAGTGGGAACTCAGGGTTCGGCTGCACTCCCTCCATACGAAACGCCCTCCAGTCAGACAAAGACCCGAGGTAAGCTATTTTGACACTCACCTGGGACACATAATGGTCGGTTCGCTGCACGTCATTCTGCCTTTTTAGAATCGTCCGAAGGATGCACAGGCAGTCCTCTATCACATGTCAGTAGCATTTTCCATAGCTGCATGCCGACTCACTACATCAGTATTTTTACCGTTTTTGTAATTTAATCAGAGTGCAACACGGAATTCCGGCCATAATGAAAACGCCGACGCCATGACGGGGGTTGGCGTGGCATCACCCCCAGCCAATCAAAATGAGGGACAAATTGGTGACCAAGGTCGGTGTTTTTGCACTCAAGAGGCTATTTGTCGCTTTCGATGCAATTGGCTTGAGTAGATAACTTGTTTGAGTTTTAGCTGAGACCTTTCTTAAGATATGTCACGTCACATTTCGTTGTGTGAGCAAAGCGTGTGAAGTGGCTAAATAGTTGAGGAGTATGCGACGCCCGTTGAGATGCATCTGGATACTGTCAACCATTTTTGTCACCATCATAGGTGTAGAGTTTCAAGTTCTGCTTTGACTTTTGTCTTCCACACAAATATTGTGGCAGCTTCGGAGTACGTGGTTGTTTCTTTCATAAAATTCATAGCTTCTTTGGATATAAATGTCATACCAATGGGTTTCAATAAACAGGATTGTCACTCTCGTCATGCTTTTTGTCTTCCCATTTGCCTCAGTGCTTAGCCACGTTCCAGAGCTTAAGGATTGAGCTCAGTTTTTATTGAAGCAGTTGGCAGGTTGTCTGTCTGAAAGCTGAGTGAGATAAAACTTCACCCATTTTTCAAGAGATGATCAAATACCTCTTCCGGGTGTCCACAGTGTCTTCTTTCTGATTTGGTAGTTCCGGAGTCTGTGAATGATGCGCTCCTACAGACGGAGGTGACTCCGGATACAAAAGTTGTAGAAGTGGACATCGGTAGAGGTGAGGATCCTGGTAAGTCTGCTGCCTGATACCTTTTTTGACGTAAGGCATCTACTTCTGTAATCGCACCTGTGTATTTCCAATTCCTCAGCTTTGGAGCATGTGCATGTCCCACTTCTAGTGGAAAGCGATCACGTGAATGTCGTAACGGATTTGCTTGACATGAATTCATTCGATATGGAATCTACTTCGGCGCTGGTCGTTGAAGACGAGGCTTCCGGTAGTTCTGATTTCTGTTGCATTCCTGTAGACTAGTACACTTTCTAGCAATGAATTTTTTACTTTTCGCGGTTTCTGCAAAGCTTACATCTATACTGGAAGCATTATTCGGGCACCAAAAGGCATTTATTGCTTGAATGGGAAGCATCAGAGTGCAATGAAAATAAAAGATTACTCGTTTAGTTGACTTTTAGTGTCGTTTTCCGATTGTCTTTCTATCCTTCTACGGCTGATGTCCGTAAATGGATCTCTCGAGTGGTGCATTGATGAGCTAATTAAGTCCTTTTATGTGACTTTCAAGCCTTCTACCTTTTTTGAAGCCATAAATTGTGTTGGTGCTAGGTTTGCCGGAGTTTTAACTTGATTCTCTGTTTTTATAAGCGACAAGTGCTGTAGTTCTGACTCCAGCACCTGAATCTACATCAATGGCTACCTCAATGTCCGAGACTTCAGCTGCACCAAGTTCTGCGGAGGCGATCCAGGCGCCTGCGATCACCCCTATTGCTGGTGCTGTTCGAGCGGATCTTTCGGCTATGGAAATTTCTGGTAAATTAGTCGGAAAACTATTGTTGTGCCTTCAAAAGGAGTGTCTGGATTTTAACTCACCCTTTTTCTTAACCATGGCCGTTGTTGAAGCACCTTCCAATGCGTCGGTTTTGCGGGATGAGTGGAAAGAAAGCGACGTTATGCGGCATTCGGGTTAGTTTTTTAGCATTAATGTGTTAACGCGTGCTGTGGTTGACTTAAGCATTACTTACTGAACTGCACTTCAGTTCAACATCAAACGGAGGCTATTTCAATGGCAGTCAGCAATATGGAAGCTTCTGGTAAGTTGACTTGTCTATCTGGTACTTGGGAATAGCTTTTTAGATGCGATTCTTCCATGTTTTCCCCCGATTTTTTTTGAATTTGACCATTTACGCGTCGCTTCTACCATCTGCATTAGAGGGCATCGATGACAGGACCGGTTCAGTGATGGTCAGATCAAACGTCCCTGGTAAGTCTCCAAACTTCAGGCTCACGAATGCTCATTTGAATTACAAGTAGAGTCGATGTGACCAATGAGTCTGATTGCTATGCATTTTGTTGATAAAGATACAGATGCGCTCCCTGCTGAGGGTGGACCAGTTGGAGAGGAGGTAATCTCCATGCTCGTGAGTGAGATAGACTTTTCAGGTGGGCACTTGTTCATTCGAGGTTTCGTGCTGCACTCTTGGACAACCTTGATTCTTGTCGATTTTGTTACCATTTTAGCTTCGGTGGTTGAATCTACGGTGTCAATGATTACTCAAGGGGTAATAGGCTGCTAATTCTGCATCATTTCACTTATACTGTTTGTTTCCTTTTTTTACTGGTTGTAAAAGTCACTTTTTGTCTTAAAGGCACCAAAGCGAAAGGTGATTTATGCCGGACGTTGGAATACAAATAACGTTGATGGTAGGCTTTGTTTTACCCCCTATGACGCTGTGAATCTCAGGTTCTGTGCTTCGCATAGATTTCACCAAAGACGATCCAGTCCAGCCGAGAGAGGTTGCATTACGTATGTTTGGTCTATGGATTCTCGTTTTCTCTCACTTTGCACCTTCATGAAAGTGATTGTGCTTGGTTTTTTTCCCTCAGCTTATCAGCATCAACCAACAGCAGAAGTAGCGTCCCGACCGGAGGCTAACGTTGAGACCGTTGAAGAACGCGAACGTACAGGTACTATCCTAAAATAACTATCATCCATGATTTGCTTGACATTCTCAATAACCCTTCATTATCTGCAGCATGCACAGCGAGTTGCGCTGATGTTTTCAACTCTCCAGTGGTTATTTGCGGGCCAGAAGCTCCTGGTGAGGGTGCAGTTATTAGTTTTCATTATTTGTTAATATAAGATGCAAAAAACTAAGGCGATTGTACAGTTTCAATTAGAGATGAAAGGGCCTCACCAAAAGAAGTGGATGAGCTGGATGTATGTCCTGTGGAGGCGGTTGCTGGCCAACCCAATGCTGATGTCGATGTTCCAGGTTGATTTTTTTTTCGCTTTCAAGTTAACATTTTATATAGCCTAACTTTTAAGGCCTTAACAACTCTCACTATCTGCACCTAGCCGAGGAATCCCAGCGCTCTACCAACGGTGCTGACGGTGGTGGGGAGGAGGGCGTTTCTGTGATTGTTAACAAGTCAAACGTTTCGGGTAGGAAGATTGGGGATTTTTTGTTCATTCGCCTTTAAATTAAAGTAAACTCATAAATTGTCTGCTTAATAGTAGAAGTGGATTTTTTTTTGGATTATTATTAGCAGCTTTGAAGGCTTGTGTAACTTTGCTAGCGAATCTGGCTAAAAATAAGCCGCAATGTGACAATACAATGTACAACTGCGATGCCGAACTTGAAGCTGAGGCTGTGGAAGACCTGGCGACTGAGTCCACTCATACCGTTGAAGAGGTGGCGAAGGTTTCAGATGCGATGCAAGTCGAAGGTATATTCTGAGCACAGGGTTTTCTGCCGTTTTCGTTAGTATATGTTGCGGCTTCCATTGCTATATCTTGGCTGGTGAAATGTGACGGGCTTTTCTGGTTAGTTATAAGCATCGCTGTTGGATAAGTATTCAGTGAATCAACTAAAAGTTTAGTACTGGGTGCTTGTTCTCATTCAAATTTTGCTTCTGATTTCAGATATGAGTTTAGAAGGCGGTTTATTGCCTTCCCGCCCGCCAGATGTCCCCTTGGAAAGCGACACTGGTTGCGACTCACAAGTGAGTGGCATTTGATGCATCTCCTCATTCGATTGCATTGGTGAGTGTGTTGTGACAGAAACCGGTTTTGTAATGTGGTAAGGGCGAGAAGAGGAGTTTGCGTTGCCGTCGGAAGATGGTGGACTCGGTGGACGTGGTGGAGGCGAATGCGACGGTGGAGAAAAGTGTGGCACGGGTTGAGGACAAGGGGGGTGTGGAAGAAGGAGACGGTGAGACTGAAGGTGGTAGGTTGGGAAAGTGATTGGTGAAGGATGTGATGAGCAAAGGAATGAGCTTGTGATTTGTCTGCACTTCGTCGAGTCAGATGGAATGATTGTTTTGTTGTTGTTGTTGTAGTTGTAGTAGTATCAGACGAAGTGCATGTGGGTGGAGATGCGGACGTGGAGGTGACAGAGGAATCAGAGGTGGTGGTGGCGGCGGCAGCGGTGGAGCGCATTGACGGTGGTGGAAGTGAGGCTGGAGGTGGAGGTAGGAGTTGTTGTGTTGACGAAGCATAGGAAATGCGGTGCATTTTGTGTGGGCATTGAAGGAGTTGTAGTGTGCTGAAGGTGTGTAAGTGTTGGGTGGAATGAAAAGAGGAAGGAAGAGTGGTGAAATGTGGATATGGTCATTGTTTGTTTGTGGATGCGGGTTTGATTGGTAATTTGGGTGAGTGGACAGTGGGAGGTGGTGGTGGTGGTGAGGAGGAGGAGGAGTTGATGTGAATTGGGAGATAGTAGTGGTGTTGAGTGAAATGCCTTGGCTGCTTGAGGTGTGACGTGTTTTGATTAGGGTATTAAGGCGCTCAATCATGTGTACGGAAATGGAGAGATGATAGGCGCGTTTTGCATTACAGACGTCTCGTTGAGAAGGAGGAGTGCATTGGGCTCACAGGTAGGTGTGATTTGGTGGCAGTTGTGTTTGACTTGGTGGTGGTGTTGTAATGAAATGTGGTGTTGATGTTTGCAAGGATGAGGAGAGGAGCGTGGGGTCTCGTTGCAGGATGGTGGCGTCGAGTGTGGCATCGCTTGGTGATGGCAGGGAGAATGATGGGAGGGAGGATGCAGGTAAATTGTGTAAGTTGTTGTTGGTGCGGAAAGTGTGGAGGTGTGTGATGTGAGACGGAAAGGAAAGGGAAGGGAGGAGAAGGTAAGGTGGAGACACATTGTTGGGCTAGGGAGTGGAAGTTTGGGGAGTTGCAAATGGGTCAGTACAATGTGGAATGTGTGTATGTAGGTGATGCTACGGTCGCGCATGAGGCCGATGCATCACGGGGAACGGAAAGCTTCGCCGATGCTTTGTATCAAACCATATAAGAGGTTAGTCCATCCTCCCAATCGGTTTAGAGGTCCAATCTTGTTTATCTTGCATCGTTTAATGTATAATTTGGGCATTTATCTGTTTGTAACGATTTGTGTGCCCTTTATTGAGAAGCTTAGGTCAAAGGTCCTGAAACCTTCTTTTATAGCTTATAGAAAAGGTTGAAGTCTGTTTCGAAATGCATTATTAACAATTTTGAAGACTGTTCTCTGCATTTTTTTTTTCTGCTTAGATGTGGATTTAGTGGAACAGGCAACTGAATCTGCTGCCCCTGCCGGTGCTGTGCCGATTGTCCCTAGTGAAGTGGAACTCGAAAGTAGGCCATGCATATCACTTTGTTTCACAGCATTTGGTTTTGGTTGCATTAAGGAATTGAGTTTAGCGTTGAAACACTTTGTACAATTTGGCGGGAGGAGCTTAAGTATAAGGAGCTTTTGCGTTTCCTCTTTGCAGGTGTTTCCACAGGAATCCGGAGCAGTTCAGACTCATGCGTAAGTAGCATGTTACACCTCTTTCACTTAGGCAAACTTTCTAGTTGTGTTGTAATCGTCTGGGGCTTTATTGTTGTAAGGATGACCAGAGGAGTTTGACCTCCTCTTCCTCGATGGTGTCTCATGTGGATGCAGAGGCGGGCGATGCCACGGTGCCAATAAGTGTGTCATCGCTGATGGTGGAACGAAAAGATGGACAAGGGGCAGATGAGGGTGAGGGTCTCTGACATTTTCCATCACTGACTAATACCTATTAGTGACAAAGTGGAAATTTTTGAGTATATTTAGCTGATTCCCAAAGGGGCACTGCTCCTATCGTTTGCCAAAAGAGGTAGTGAAATGTTTTTTTTTGTGGGGGGGGGCTGTTTGTCTAGGCGGAGACATGATCACCCACGAAGTCGAATCAGCGCAAGAGGGAGGAGCTGTTGTCGATGTCGCAAGCCAAACAGCTGCCAAAGGTGAGACATCGTCACTGCATTTGCTCTCACATCACTTTTTTTTATAGCTAATAGTTCAGTGTTGCATTAAGGCTGGCATTGGCGTTTAGTTCTTTGTCCATTTCTAATTTTCTAAGATAAGATCAGTAGATCTATTTGTTGTATTCAAGGAAAGACCTTCATGAACTACAGTAATACCATACATTGCATAATTCTGACCATGAATGGGGATTCTCGTGATTTTATTTGTAGATGCGGTCGTGGTTGGAGAGGTGGACCAGTTCAATCTCACCGCTCAACCTGTGGCAATTGTTCCAGTTGACGCGCAAATCGCTGGTACAGTATTTAAGCTTTCTCCCCTCTCTTGCTTTCACCTTGACTTGTGTTTTACTTTGAGTGCTTAATTAGTTACCTGAAATTCTATGGCTTTTTTTTGTGGCTGATCGAGATGTGGCGTATTTAACTGTTGCCAAAGGTACACCACTGGTAGAGGGCAATTCGAGGTGGTTCCAGTCACTATCATTTTGCCTTTCTTTGCTGGCATTCCTCTGTTACTCAGCGCAAGTTTGTCCACTTTATAGGCATTTCTAAGGCAGGCAGAAGCACTTCAGACTCACGGGTAAGGGACATTTCATGTGCAATCGACTTGATTAGCATAGCAGTCGTGTTGCGACGAATGTTGGTTTTAATTCTGTTAGGGCACCAAGAGAGGTTTGCGTTCTCGTCGCAAGATGGTGGACTCGGTGGACGCAGTGGAGTGGGATGTGACGATGGAAATAAGTGTGGCGCCTCTTGTGGACAAACAGAGTATTGGACAAAGGAGAAGTGAGACTGAAGGTACGTGGCATTTTCCGTCATTGAAGGAAGCCTGGCTATTGGTGCGTTCAGCACAATGGAATCGGTTTGACTCAGCTCCACCTTGCTAAGTAATGTTTGAATAAGGGTTTATTGAAATGTATTTGCAGACGACAGTGCGGCTGTCCATCAAGCTGAACCATCACCGGTGATGGAAGCCTTTGTCGATGCCTCAAGCCAAGCAGTGCCCGAAGGTACGATGCTATCCGTTTACTTGTCATCATAGTATTCCATCTAAACTGGACAGTTTAATATTACGATGGAGAAAACGTTATTTTTTTACGATGTGGACTACTTCTATTTATCACATAACTGCAAAATGAATGCGTCTATTTGATCGGCCAAGGAGGAGATTTTGGCAGCTTCGAACTTAGCAGTAAATGTGTAATTGGCGATGTAGGAAGAATTTATTCTTCCCTTGCAGATGGCTTCATGTCTAGGGAGGCGGACACGTCTGCACCCATGGAAGAAGCTGTGAAAGGCGTCTCAAATACAGCGCAAACCAAAGGTGGGGCATGAGTGTAACTTTTATCGTTTACCGTACCACAAAAGAGATTGCTCGTCTACAGGAATTGATATGATCGTCTTGCCTTGCAAAATGTAGCCTTCATCTCCTGATTTTTGTAAATCTCTTCTCTATGGAGATTCATAAAATCAGTCTGAAATGCTTGATGAAGTGCCTTTATTGATTTGCATTTCGGCTTTTGATTTCAGATGTGAGTTTAGAAGGCGATTTATTGCTTTCCCGCCCGCCAGATGTCCCCTTGGAAAGCGACACTGGTTGCGACTCACAAGTGAGTGGCATTTGATGCATCTCCTCATTCGATTGCATTGGTGAGTGTGTTGTGACAGAAACCGGTTTTGTAATGTGGTAAGGGCGAGAAGAGGAGTTTGCGTTGCCGTCGGAAGATGGTGGACTCGGTGGACGTGGTGGAGGCGAATGCGACGGTGGAGAAAAGTGTGGCACGGGTTGAGGACAAGGGGGGTGTGGAAGAAGGAGACGGTGAGACTGAAGGTGGTAGGTTGGGAAAGTGATTGGTGAAGGATGTGATGAGCAAAGGAATGAGCTTGTGATTTGTCTGCACTTCGTCGAGTCAGATGGAATGATTGTTTTGTTGTTGTTGTTGTAGTTGTAGTAGTATCAGACGAAGTGCATGTGGGTGGAGATGCGGACGTGGAGGTGACAGAGGAATCAGAGGTGGTGGTGGTGGCGGTGGAGCGCAGGATGGTGGCGTCGAGTGTGGCATCGCTTGGTGATGGGAGGGAGGAGGATGCAGGTAAATTGTGTAAGTTGTTGGTGCGAGAAGTGTGGAGGTGTGTGATGTGAGACGGAAAGGGAAGAGGTAGGGGAGGAGAAGGTGATGTAAGGTAAGGTGGAGGGAGGAGGGAGTGGAAGGATCGGAGGTAGAGTAGGGATAGGAGGATGAATAGGCATATTGGTGGGCTAGGGAGTGGAAGTTTGGGGAGTTGCAAATGGGTCAGTACAATGTGGAATGTGTGTGTATGTAGGTGATGCTACGGTCGCGCATGAGGTCGATGCATCACGGGGAACGGGAAGCGTCGCCGATGCCTCAAGCCAAACCGAAGTCGAGAGTTTGTTTCTGTTTTTGTAGACTTGCATTCCTTTCCACATTTCTTCCTTATTTTATCTTAACTTGTTTTGTTGGCTTAAAACATCCCTTGTTGTAATGCTTTTTTTTTTAATTATTTGGCGAGCCATTCAATATGTGCTCGTGAACCACTGATTCCATCGCTTTACTGCGCGTACACTGCTGATACTTTTACGAATAGCCTAAACTAGCCTTCTGTTAGATTCGTAGGCATCGTTGTGACTAATTTTTCTCTCCTTTTTTTGTCAAAGGCAATTCATCAACTCGGTCTCGTGGGAGAGGTATAAAACTTTAATGCTTGCCTACATCTAGGAGGGTAATTAATGTGCTATCCACTCCGTTTCCTCCTCTGCAGGTTCCGCAAATCGAAGCAGAAGCTCTTCCACTGTGCGACGAAGCAGGATTAACCATCGTCGGTCATCTCATCCGCGTATGTTATGCCCTCTCCCTTTTTTTGCCCCTTCGCATTAAAGTAGACAGGGATTTGGTTTGTCTTTACGTCTGTTTGGATTTTACTTGCACTTTGATGAGGATGGATGCTGCCGCATTGGCATGCAAATGGCACGTAGAGCGAATTCTTTCCCTACTGTTCTGTCTGGACATGTTTTACTAAGGTTTTTTGAGGTCTCTCAACGTATTGAATTAATTGTTTGGGATTTACTTTCTCCTAGTTATGGAAGATGCTGCCTCCACTGAAGTGTTCATCAATGCGGTAAAACAACACACTAACACGCCAGGTATTGTCTATCTTTGCATACCTTCAACTACGTGCTTTCACATCATCACTTGGCATCTTGTGTGTTCCCATCTCAGCGTCGGTCGTTCACCTGACGGAGCATGCTGGCGATGGAACGGGGGTGCGTTGTAATGGGGTTTGCATGCTTCTTCTTCCTTTTTTTTTCTCTCGAGAAAACAGAACAATTTTACGCTATTATTTTGCACTGCGTCGGTACTTGTAGAAATGCAAGCGCTTCTCCAATCAAGGCTGTTCGAGGAAAGTTCGTGGTGGGTTTTCCCTGGGAGCCATTTTCCGCATTTGTAACTTTTCTTTACTGAGTTCATGAGACGAGGACACGTCCCTTCCCTTTCAATGGGAGAATTCATTTTGACTTTTATTTGTTGTTCTGCAGGAGTATTTTTTGATGAAAGTGTTTTGGAGACACCTCAGCCTATCTCTCCGCGTTGTGCCTGGCCATCGCCTCTGAATCGTCCGGGCTCCCTTGGCTACACCTGCCCCTCCTTATCTGCTGTGCCGCTTATGGAGACCAAGTTAAAGAGCACTTCTTGTCAGTTTTGCCTGGATACAATTTACAGTTTCTATTTGTTAAATTTATTTCTATTAACTTTCCTATTGTCGATCTCTTCAGCCTCCAGTCGTGTCTCAAGATCGACTGGGGTCTCGTCGGGAATGACTAGATCACCTCTGAGCTCACAGCGTCGAACCATCACGTACCAGGAGATAAGGGAGATTGAAGAGAGGTGTAAGCTTTAACCATTGCCCTAAATCACGAAGTGGACAGATGCTCACTGATGTGAACTTGGGATTTTTTTTTTTAAAGTGTTGGAAACCTCTGCTGACGAGGTAGAAGATCACTCCATCCCTCAGGTAGCCCCTTCTAATGGATCTACCTCAACTCGGGTAAGGTTCATGCATCTTCTTTCTTCCATATTAGAGGGGAGGGGGGGGGCAATTGCAGTCTATTGGGGGTGTGAGATTATTCCACTCATCTATCATCTGACACTTCCTTCTTTGGCGGCAGGCTTGTCACCTAAGACCATCGAATATTTCGTGTTTAACGATCTGCTATCTTTGGCAGCTGGATAAGTTTTGACTTTTTTATTTGAATCAACAAGAATAAGGATACCGCAAAGTTGGCACCCCCAGTGAGTGTTCCAAATGATCTCTCTTTGTCCGCTTCTTGTCTGGACCGAACTATGCTTCAGGACATGGTATTAATGCCTCCTGTGCAGCCACTACCGCCACTGAAACATCGCCACGGCTCGTTTGTAGGCGAGACAGCGGCCGTGGGTTCAGCGCCGTCAGCTTCGACTTCATTCACTGAAAGGCGTCGTAGTGTTCAATTCGCCCCTTTGGCTGGTGAGTTTTCTTCTCCACCTAACACGGTCAACTCTTTCATTTGTGTCCATTCCAACTCGATTTTTGCCTACAGAAGTATTAAAACAAAGTCCCCGTGGTCATTGGAATCGACTCTCAGTGGGTTTGATGGACCAGTTTGATGTGTCCCCTATTCCTAAGTCGGGAGGAGGTGGTAAGTTAGTGCTGTTTTACACGAACTCTGCAATGTTTGCATGAAGTAACAGTTCATAGTTTCATTATTTTAGCTATTGTAACGAATTCATCGACAGATGAGTCGAGCAGTTCATCAGACCTTTCCCACTCCTTGATTGCGGCGAACGACGAGATAGAACAGAGTAGCATCACCCCTTCCACATCAAGCTCCTTGAATCACTTAAACAGGTCTTGCCATCTTTCACCTACAGGTAATCTGCCACCACCTTAACAAAAAGTTAGGGCTTTTAACAACTGCTTTATCATTATTGTGTGCTCTCTTTTTCAGCTGTGGAAGCTTTGAATCGTTGGAGAGAGGATCAATCAGTCCTGGTGGAGGGGGAGGAGGCAGAGAAGGTCACCGAGAAAACTTACAGTAATATAAACACTTTTGTCTTCTACGTACCATTACATACTTGTATTTACTGATATTCTCATCCTTCCTCCAGGTGAAAGCTTGATTCCCGGACGTGAGAAGTTGACACCAGAGCAGATTAAGCATGTGGTATGTTCAACACTTTAGACAATATCTTTATCTTCTAGTTGACTTGTCTCCGCTCTCCTGAGTTGGCTTCCAAAGCCTCTCAACGTTCGGCGCGTGAGTTTACCCTTCATTCTATGCATTGAAAGGGGGTATTGTAAATTAGTGGATGATCTTTACAATACATCTCCACACAGGTCGTAATCAGAGATCCAAAATAGATGATAAGACGTATGCAATCGACCCGAGTATGACGTCTTTGTCACAGTGGCTACCACCACCAAATGAGGGCAAGGAGTACGACATGGATGCCGTAGGAAACGCTCTTCGTTTGATGCTTATGGGGTGGGTGGAGCCTCAAGATCCCGTCTTCATTCCTCTTCGTGAGTGTTCTTGTACTCCCTTCCTTTTCCTTCTACGCATTTCTGTGTGTCTTTTATGACAGTGATAGTAATCTTATGTTTCTGTCTTATTTCCGTCGGTAATAGCCAAATCGGCCTATCAGCACCGCGTGAACACCGATTCGGGACTGCGTCGGAGTACGCGAATTCGAGTCGCACCTCCACGAGACTCCTACGAGCGAGTATACTACGATGTTCGCACCAACCCTGTCACAGGTCGGTTGGAGAGAGTGCCTTTGGGCTACCTCCGTTATCCCAACCAGAAGGAGGTGCGGAGACGTCAGCGTTTACTCAAGAAACGACTCCAGGACAGCGACAAAGGAGCCGCGGCCGTGAGAAAGCGTGCTCGGGAGGCTCGACTTCATCGATTAGCTGCAAAGAGAAGACGCGTGTTGGGACTTTCTGAGGGTACTTTTCCCCCAATTATGTCTCCTTTTTTGTGGCTGTGGTGAACTTGAACAAAATAGAGTTTTTTTTTAATTTTGCAGCTTTGTCCAAAACCAATCATTCTCGGATCATAGTGTTGGAATCCGATGTGACTTGGGTCGAAGATGGCATGAATACCCTTCCAATCGGCCAACTCATTAATCCGAAGGGACCCTCAAATTTGCGTGAGTTTTTACTTGACACCTCAATAACCCTCCTTTTTTAGGCGTGATTTTCGAGTCACTGGATGAGGCACAATCGTGTCTAGCCGGTGGTGTTATTCAAACCTTCACAGAATGTGGGATTGAGCCGGGCTCTGGCCTATCTCATGTGGGTCCGTTTGAGCAGTCACTTCACGACATCACCAATGTCATTTCTGCTGAGCAGAAGCGTCGTGGTCTGCATTTTGATCCAAAGGCGAGCAACTTTTTCATCATCCATTTGCAGACTCCCAACGAAATATCATCGAAGAATCCTCTCCTGGCCGTTCAAATCGGCACCTACGCTATTCCACTGAGGAAGGCTTGTTGCATCCTTGTACCGGGAGGTGAGTTATTGGTGAGTGGCTAAAGGAAATTTATCGTTCTTTTTTAATGCTACAAACTTTTTGTTTGTTAGGTATACCGTACAAATTCATCAGCATAGCCCCACGTATCATAAGGTTGTCTCGACTTCGATTTATGCCCTTGCGATAGGCAGTTTTATTTAGTTTGTCATCTTCATTACCCTTGTACCCTATCTTCGTTCTGAACCCATTCCCTGTTATGACTTTCACTCCTTGTTTTATCGGCTCCATGTATTGACGGATAGTTTGAAAAAAACCTTGTACAAAATAAATCAGTGGACATTCCCTACTTTCGTGTGCAGGATGAGATCGTGGTCTTATGAATTCCAGGCTGCGGATGTGGGATGATCTGATGATCATGTGTAGGCCTGTTTTCACTAACCGTTGATTTTATTGTTAGAACATCACTGGATAATGTCGGCAACTGTTGCGGTCAAACGCATATCCTGAGGAGGGTTGTTGGGACAAATATTAGATAATTGCTTTGAAGATGGGTGAAGTGGCTTACTTTTGCTATTATCAGAGGCCTTTCGAAGTTTGTACCAACTTTGAGCCTCATGAACGAGTGGGTTGACTCACCTGGATGAATTCAACTATATAGAGAAGGGGAATTTTGTAACATTTTGAATTTTTCAATCTTGAGCACACCTGGTGTGGACGGTGCAGTGCTTTGTTTATGTGACTGCTCAATGTCAGGCGGTCACTAAGATATGCGTAGCCTTTGTACGCGTGAGCTGGTCTTCGGGCAATGCTCAGGCTCACTTACTTTGTTCTTCTTGGGATACATGTATTCAACTTCACTTCGTGTCTTCTTCTACCCTGTGGGAAGTCTCAGAACGCTACAGGTGGGGGGTAGTTCGCCTAGCGAAGGTGTGGCACACAAGCGTCAAGGTGCTGCGTTGCCAACGCAACAAAACGGTAGGCGGGTACTTCCTCTATTGGTGTGACGGACTTAACAGTCGAGGCTAGCCATATGTACAAAAAACACCGATGGTAAACTTGGTTACGTGATTGCAATGGTAGAAATATGATTCGCATTGTCAGTCTTGTCATAAATCTTAGAGTCGCCAAGCTCAGTGTAACGTCAAAATTTTTAAGTAAACAATATTTTAACCAATATTCGTGTATTAGGTTGGCAAACTGCGCAATCTTCTATGTCTGATTCTCGTTTTATTTCACATATCTTCAATTGTTTGAATTTACTGTTCGTGATTTTACCTTGACGGCATCTTTAAGCTCATTCATAACTTAATTGAATGTGCCTCGATAGCAATGCCGGTCGCGCAAAAGTTCGCACCTTTGAATAATGGATTCCGTGTGCCCATAGTTGGTTTCGATGCGGCAAAAGTTTGTTTGAGTTCTACTTATTTTTAAGCTTCAAGCGTGTGAGCTAGAAAAGACTCTGCTATGTGCGATCGACTCTGGCTATCGACATTTCCACTGTGCTTCTGATAGCGAAAATCAGAATGCCGTCGGAAATGTCCTGGAAATGAAACTATCTGCTACAGTGTTGAAAAGGGCAGATTTTTTCATATCGACAAAAGTACGTGTTTGAAATATATCACTATTTTTATGCAGGTTTCAATCACGCTAAAGGAATCACATAGTGTTAAGAGCAAACTAGAAGAAGCCTTGTCCAGCTTAAAGTTGTCATATCTAGACCTGTATCTTCTGCACAATCCATTTACCTTTTCGGTGGGAGTGATATTATTGATTATTGTTGTAGCCCAGTGAAAATCATCGGATACCGCCGAAAATTATTGAGAATATGTGGCGAGTAAGCTTGATGTATGATTGATTGGACTAGTGTCTGCACCAAAATGTAGCGCAATAATTAAGTTCCTATTAATGACAACTGAAGCATAAATCCAACCAAGCATACCAACCATCTGTGCTATTAACTACTTGAAGCATTTTCTGCAATATCTTTTGCTAGTGTTTTCTATAATGTTGTTTATTTACGTAGCCAGTTAAAACTACCCTATCGAATAAGGAATAATTTAGATATGTTACTGTTAATCAAAAGGCAATGAAAATATTGCAAAAGTAGTTCAGATCGTTGCATATCTTGCGCTTTTGGTTTAACAAGGTTCTGGCTCTTAGTCATCATGCATGGATTGTTATGATTTTTTTTCAAATGGTAGGAATTGGAACAACTAGTTGATGCGGGTCTTGTTAAGTCAATTGGCTTATCGAATTTCAGCAAGGATCAAATCGACCGATTGACCAAGTTTTGCAACATCAAACCCGTATTACTACACGTTGAATCTGCAATTATTACACTTAATCAAGAGCTTATGGAATATGCGCACTCCTTCGGAATTCAAGTTATGCTACACGACATTACCTCATCTCCTTCAACCTTGTAAGCCATTAATTCGTATTTTTCTTCCCATTTAAAAGGTATCATTTCATATTTAATTCCATCTAGCTAGTTTTAATCTTTTTTGGCAAAATTTTGCCTATCTCACTGCCAGAGTTAAACAATTGTTGAATTAACTGAATTGAAGTGGTCGTTGCTCTCTCTCGAAATCATGAGCGTTTATTACGCTGACGTGTACTTTTGTGTTTATGTGACGAAACACATTCCTTAGACATTTTCACAAATTGCATTGCTTTGCTTCACCGCCTTTGTCTTCCGCTTTGAGTGTGCTTGGTTTGCCGATTTTTCACGCCAAAATGTTTCTCCATTCATTTTTATTATCAAGGATGATGATCCCTTAAAGAAGGGAGATAAAGGAAGGAACTGAAGTCAGATTGGTTGGCATGCGTGGAGCATTATGGGCGCGTCGAATGTGCAAATACTGCCTGTATTAATGTCAGTAGGTGGTGGGAGATTTGGAATATTTTTGCGTAATAACCACCTCGAGGCCAAATTCTTTTCCCAATATTTACGACGTTTGCTTATGGCATCACGGAGTATGTAAAGTACTCCTCATGTATTTATTGCATTCTTTGCCCTCATATCATCAGCCAATTAAAAAGTATTCCTAAAAGCACTTAGTTACAAAAAACACTATCCAGTTAGCATTAAAACGTCGTGATTAGTAGCCGTAGCGTTTCTCCATCGTAGTTAGGCGGAGCACATCCACACAATTACACAGTAGGCCTATAAGGCGATGGGTTATGTCTCTGCCTCTAAAATTTCTGTCATCCAAATGTCTTTCCATTGTCGTTTTATTGGATTGCTGAAACCTACTTAAATAAACAATTAGTAGCATGTACCTCCCGGTTCGATTTTTTTGTTTCGCTGGATGACTGTAAATAACGTCAGAGTTTATTAAAATTAGGCTCTGACAGTCATATACAGGCTGCAGTCATGCTTTTCGAAGTTGTTTTTTTTTACCAAGGAGACTTCAAGTTTAGACTTGTCGTTGCCCTTTTTACGCAACTGTCAAGGCTGCCACATTGTGCTGTCCGCATGCACACCGGTAAGCCTTCGTTGGTGTTTATGTGAGAGGAGGTCAATCCACGGTCTATGAGGTCTCGTATCCGCAATCCAGGTGCTGACCGTTCCATCAACTTTTTTAAGGTGATTTTCGTGCCGTAATGATACTAACAATCACCTCCACCGTTTTCTCTTGATCTGACCAAATATGTGCCCCCTTCCGCAAGGGGAGGGGTACATTTGCCACTCCTGACTCCTTATTAATCCTTCAATTTACTGCTCCCCTTCTGGTTGCGTGGAGCATCGACCAAGTCGTGCATCCAACTCATAAATCTGTCACTTTTGCGGGAGCATACAAACATCCGGTAAGGCCAAAATCACACGCCCATAGGAGTGTGAATGAAGTCGGTCCACTCGGTTAGTGCAGACAATGTCACTTTGTGTGAGTAAAAGGAACTTCATTCATCGTCTTAAAATATTTACTCATTCACAGAAGTCTTCATTGCTCTCCTCCTCCCTTGTTATTTACCA